TACCAAGGCTCTGAATGAGCAGAACCAACAGCCACTTGAAAATCTCCCCTCTTTGTTTTGCAGGTATGGTGTGAATATGCGTTGCTTGGCAGCTCGGGTCAACTACAAGACTCTGATCATCATCTGCGCTCTCTTCACCCTGGTGACGGTGCTGCTCTGGAATCGATGTTCCTCCGACAGAGCCGGTCCCTTCCCCCGCAGTCTCACCGGTTCCGAACGCCGAGGAGCCGCCGCCGCCGCATCCGAGAGCGACCCAGCCCGGCAACAAAGCGAGGAGGCATCACCCCAAGAGCAGCAGAAGGCTCCTCCCGTCGCTGGAGCCTTCAACAGCAACAAAGCCCCGGGGCTGAAGTACGAAGAGATTGACTGTCTGATCAATGATGAGCACACCGTTAAAGGGAGGAGGGAAGGCAACGAGGTCTTCCTGCCGTTCAGCTGGGTAGAGAAATACTTTGAGGTTTATGGGAAAATTGCTCAGTACGATGGTTATGACAGGTTTGAATTCTCTCATAGCTACTCCAAAGTATACACACAGCGAGCACCTTACCACCCCGACGGGGTCTTCATGTCCTTCGAGGGCTACAACGTAGAGGTTCGAGACAGAGTGAAGTGCATAAGTGGTGTCGAAGGTTTGTGTCAAGTCTTTTATTTTTATCTTTATTTTTTATAGTTGAAATGCTTCTTAAAATTTGCTGCCATCATTTGAGATCATAGAATCATAGAATGGTTTGGATTGGAAGGGACCTTAAAGATCATCTAGTTCAACCCCCCTACCATCAGCAGAGTGATGCAGAGTGATCTTAATTTCTCATGATAGTCTCCATAAAAAAAACCCAAACACCTTTGAGAAATTGTGGGTAATCGCTGCTTCATGACAGGTTTTCTCAGCTCCTGTCCTGCATCTCTGGTTTTACTGGTTGGAGCAAACTGGAGGTGCCAGGATGTTTCTCTTACGATGTTACTGTCAGGTTTTGGTGTTGCCATTGACACTTGTGTCTGTTAGGGAGTCACAATTATTTTAAAATATCAAATTTAAAAATAAAAGCCTGGCCCTGCTGTCTGCAGAGGCTCCTGCTTCCCTGTGGGCACAGACACAGCCCCGTGCTCTGAGCCAGACAGCGCTGCCAGCACGTGGGGAGCAGCCCGGCTGCTCACAAGGAGCTTAATATCTGGGATTTGTCTTTATATTTAACAAAATCTCAACTCTTTGCATTGCTGGAGATGCAGCAGTTGAACCTTCTGCGCTGGGCTGCTCCAGAGCAAGCAGGGAAGGTTTTGCTCAGCAGCTCTTGACAAAGCTTGTCCTGTGCATGGTCCGAGTGAAACAGAATCATGGAAACCCAGACTGGTTTGGGTTGGAAGGGACCTTAAAGCTCATCCAGTCCCAACCCCCCTGCCATCAACAGGGACACCTTCCACTAGACCAGGTTGCTCAAAGCCTCATCCAACCTGGCCTTGAACATTTCCAGGGAGGAGCAGCCACAGCTTCTCTGGCCAACCTGGGACACTGGCTCACCACCCTCACACCAAACAATTTCTTCCTCACATCTCATCTCCATCTCCCCTCTGCCACTTTCAAGCCATCACCCCTTGTTGTGTCACTCCCTGCCCTTGGCCAAAGTCCCTCCCCAGCCTTCCTGGAGCCCCTTCAGGTACTGGGAGGCCACTAGAAGGTCTCCCTGGAGCCTTCTCTTCTCCAGGCTGAACAGCCCCAACTCTCTCAGCCTGTCCTCACAGCAGAGCTGCTCCAGCCCTCGCATCATCCTCGTGGCCTCCTCTGCACTGGCTCCAGTAGCTCCATGTCCTTCTGCTGTTGGTGGCCCCAGCACTGGAGGCAGCAGTGCAAGTTCAATGCTCGACAAGGTGTTTATTTACCTAGAAACTTTGCTTTTTTGCAGTGTGTGATTTAAGAGCCGTCGTTATGAACCGTGGTGCCAACCTCTGGGTTTGGTGCGGGTAATAGAGTTATTGGCACCCAACAAACAGCTCAGAGAAGAGAAATAGTTGTAGGGAAGAGGTTTTAATATTCAAACACGTTCTCAGACGGTTTTAGGCTCTTGCATCATTCCAGCTCTAGAGATTCTCATATTGCTGCATGATGAAAAAAAACCCCTCGTGTTACATATTCACCTTCTCTCTTTCGGCAAGGTTAATATGTTGTTATGTCCTGTGACCTGGAGAATTTAATCTTGTCATCTTATATAAATTTCAAGTAAAGCTCTTAGAGCAGATTTTTTTTTTCCTTTCCATCTCAATGAATGCACTCTTAGCTGAAAAATGCTTAACGTTAATAAGTGAACTGACTTCCAGGAGTTGAGATAATACAGGGTATTTAAATATTTCCCGTGATGGTTTTCTATTTAGGCAGCACTAAACCCTCACATCTCCCTCAGTAATATTTATTAGGAACAGAAAAGCACCAAAATCTGTATGAAAATGTATCCTTTAGTTTAAGTAATCTTTTCATTGTACCAATTTCAGAAGAAATTGGGTTCTGAGCTTGACGTTGCCAAGGGGGAAACATGGTGCAATGCCAACTTTTATTTTATTTTAATCATAGAATCCCAGACGGGTTTGGATTGGAAGGGACCTTAAAGCTCATCCAGTCCCAACCCCCCTGCCAGCAGCAGGGACACCTTCCACTAGACCAGGTTGCTCAAAGCCTCATCCAGCCTGGCCTTGAACACTTCCAGGGAGGAGCAGCCACAACTTCCTTGGGCAACCTGTTCCAGTGTCTGACCACCCTCACAGTGAAGAACTTCTTCCTAATACCTCATCTAAACCTCCCCTCTTTCAGCTTAAACCCATTTCCCCTTGTTCTGTCATTAACTGCCCTTATGAAAAGTCCTTCCCCAGCTTTCTTGTAGCCCCTTCAGGTACTGGGAGGCCGCTGTAAGATCTCCCTGGAGCCTTCTCTTCTCCAGGCTGAACAGCCCCAACTCTCTCAGCCTGTCCTCACAGCAGAGCTGCTCCAGCCCTCGCATCATCCTGGTGGCCTCCTCTGGAATTGTTCTAACTGGTCCATCATCTCTATCTCTATCATCTCTGGTCCAATATCATCTCTATTCTTTTCTTACACACATGCAGTGGTTTACAGTACTCAGTATCCTCAGTTTCCTGCAAGAGGGTCACAATGATCCATTCCCATTTGGGATTTGTATTTAGAGGGTGGGAATTTGGCCTGAATAAAATTCTGAACTTTAGGAGAATCCTGGTTTTATCTATATCTCCAGTATTGTGTGCTTGCTGACTTAAGGAGGCGTGTGTATAAATGAGTCTCTTCCACACAGTTTATTTTCCTCTCACGCATCGGTTGGTGTGATAGGCAGTTTATGGTGTGAAGGTTTTTCCACCCAAACCCTGAGGCTGTAGCTCCTGGGAGCTGGTGAAGGGCAGGTGGAGGAGAGCCTGCAGCTCAGCAGGGTTTTTTGCTGGTGCATCTCTGCTAACGATCAGAACGGAGGGTGCAAATATTATATGGAGCACTGTTTTGTGACATTGAGCTCTTTTGGTGCCTTTTACATATGAAATGCAATGTGTCAGCCTACAGAAGATGTTCTTTGTGATCTTCCAGCTTTGAATCCTCTAAAGAGGTGGTATTCCAGCAGGTTCTTCTGGTCTGTGCAGGATATTAAATCTAAAATAATCTTAACCTTACATAAAGTTGGTGACACCCAGCTGGATGGGAGTGTTGATCTGCTCCAGGGAATGAAGACTCTGCAGAGGGATCTGGCCAGGCTGGA